GTTGATTCGGTTACCACAAAAATTTAGCGTTGTAAGAGTCTATATTGAATAATAGTGATGAATGTGTAATAGATCAGTAGAGAACATGTCACTTACTATATTACTTGATAATGCATTAACTAGATGTTGTAATTTCTGATCGCCTATAAACTTAAATTCAAGGTCGAGTACAGTAAGTGTCTATAGAAAAGTTCAAATGAAATTGTAGCTTTTGATCTTGTACGTTTCTGTTAATCTTAATCTACAATTAGTATTTTCTATTTATGATTGATAAAAGTATTCGGACGCTTTGGAATATTAATATTTTTTGAAAGAGAAAAATATTGTCAGAACGTTTATTTGGAAAAAGTTCGGGCGTAGTTTTAGTGATCTGGTAGGCAATAGAAAATACAACATATCCGAAGAGAGAGAAAGTAGAGGCCTCTGGACATGGAAGTAGTACAGAATATATTTTATATAATATTCTATATCTATTATTCTTGTGTGAGATTCAAAGGAGATTGTAGGCGTACAAAGCATTCCAATAGTTGAGATATCGATAAACATTCATTAATTCTTATACTATTTTTATGTGACAAGAATGTTTCAAAGAACATGATTCAGCTGAAGATTTTTTACTTGAATAATACCTAGAGTAGAGTTTGTAAAACATCAATAGATGAAAGATGTCTATTAATGCTTTTTTTTATTTCGTTTTTGATTATTACAAATTCTATTTAGCTGATACCACTACATAAACTTATACGATTTTTGTGTAGCAACCATCTTTATTCAATCTCAATTGTGGACCATATTAACTGAGAGGAATTAATTCGAAGTGAACATCTATCTCATATTCAACAAGAAACAACCCATTCGGAGTTATTCTAATGACAACAAATCGTTCCTGATATTCATGAAAATCGTGCAGTATGAGAGCGAAAAATTTAAAAGAACTAGAAAAACTTTTTCTATTTTCGTAACACATGAGATGATAAAGATGAAACTAACCCGATATCTATGGTATGTGTCAATGATTGTATTCAGTCCTGTACAAACATCGCGAAGTGAAATTAGAATTGATAATACATCGAGATTGTCAAGAATACGATAGATAATTTCAATAGGTAAAGTGAGAAGAGATAGAGTTACTTTATCAGACATTACTATTATTTCTTTCAAATTGTGTGCTGCGTCGAAATTTTTGTTTTTTTTTTTTATATACGTAATTATGTCTTTATTGACGGCGTGTTTTTTTTGTGATTGTATAATTTCTTGTTTATGCAAAGAAACGAAAAAGTGTAATAAAAACAACCTAATAGGGACGTGTCATAAAAGCAATTTGTACATCACTTTTTCTCTTTGTATGTCATATAAAGAATTTAATCATGTTTTCCATGACTGATTTAAATATTTTTCACTTCTCGTCCCGCAAATATTTATGAGAAGACAATTAATTCTTCTCCCAACGGCTGTTTAATTTTTTTCAAAGTATAAAAGTAAAGAAAAAAATATATACATTTCGAGAGAACAAAAAAGAATGGCTGAAATGCGTGAGCAAAGGTTTCAATACGAATGTCGATATTTTGATTTGTTTTTATAATCTTGTAAAGTAAACGTTACACATGTGCATTCAATGTGATATTATAATGAGACGAAACCGATTGAAAAAAGAAATAATAATTAAATTCTAAATCACAATATCGATAAATATTAAATGATAAACATTGGATTTATATTTGATTGGTTATCTATCTGAAACAAAATTTTTAACAGACAGTAGTAAGATCATCAGGTCATCAGAAGTGAACCAAAGTCCGTCATTGTCAACGCGCTGAATTTCGAATCACATCGAGAGTGGCGGACTTTGGTTCACTTCTAAGGACCATATCCTCATATGGTATGTGCCCACAGCCCGATGACTCATCGAATCAATATCAAATAATACACTTTGTGGGGACATCACATGTCTCAACACTTTTTTGAGAAGTTTGAAGGTCATGGCTCGAATTCATAAAGTGATATAGAGATTTTCATCAGATCGAATTTGCTAGTCCAACTCGGATTTACAAGATCGCGATTGATATACAGCTGTATGTCTACGATAATGGCTGCATTTATCAATAGAAATGTAATGGACACAATGACAGTCTTTACCACTTTCTATTCATAAGATAGTTCACGCTCACAACAGTACTTCTAATGGGAAGTATACACAGTGGAAACGAAGTGTACAGACATTTGCAGCTGCTGAAATACACGCTACTGTATACTTGGTTTTAAAAAAAACAGAGTGCACAATGTACATTTTGCAGGAAAATTTTTCAACGATTCCGATTGATTTATCATCATTTGTGATTTTGAAAAATAGTGAATCGTAGTACCTCATATTCGTGTGGTAACCTAGTGCTGTATTTGTATGTGGTAAACCTTCGCAAATGAGTAAGATACAAATTTCTTTTTTACTTGTTGTCTATTTATTTATTTATTATTGATCTTCTTTTTAACTATGGCAAATGATATATGGGCATTATTTTTCATTTCTTTTTATTACATGAGGGTGTGGGTCTCTCATTTCCCACACCCACCCACCCACACCCACATCCACACCCACTCACACTCACACCCCATGCCCACACCCACACTCACATACCCACACCTGACAATTACTTTAACTAGCGATGAGAAGAAAATTACAACGAATGCTTTTTCCGTAAGCTTAATTCTTGTCATTGATTACGACAAGCTTAAATCTGCTTAATAATTTATCAAAATATTTTTATTAATCAAAAGTATTAAAGTGAAGTCATCATGAAAATTTTCATTTTTTGATTTATTTTTGCTTCTGCTTATCTTTGACGAGTGTTATAGTCTCGAAATAAAATTCTTGTCTTATTCATCATTATTATTTCATTAATTATATCTGACGAGTATTTTATGTAGCAAAGATTTCAATCGGTTAAAAGATGTTTTCTATTTTGTTGTGCAACTCTTTGGTAAACTGATATTATTACAAGTTGGAAATGAAAGAAAGCTATGTCGTTATTTCATTAAAGAAAAAAGCATGATGACTCAATGCAAAATAGCACAGAATAAACGTCAGTTTCTTTTTGCGTTATTTTTTGAGTAAGAGTGTTCTTTCTGTTTCACCTTGACAATGAGTAACTAGTCGAAATTTTTTATTCTTTTTTGCGTAAAGAAAAAAAAGCGAACATTTGTGCTTTCGATAAACAATTTCAAACGATCAATAATAATTCCGTCTCGAACAGACAACAGTAAGTAAATATTTGTCGCTCTATTTCAAAAGGAACATTTACTCGGTCTTTTTATTTTACATAATACAAAATCGGGAAGAATTATTCATAAACATTTCATACAAAATTTTCGCTAGTATAAATATTTCAAAGGCTTAATTATTTAATGTGTAGCTTCATCAAATTTAAATTTATAAAAAGAGATGAATACTAAATTGTGGAAAAATTCGAATATTTCCCACGTTTACTGTTATATCATTGGATATGTCGGAGCGCATGAACTTTTATTTCGAATCATTAGAAGTTCTGAACTCATATGGAGAAACAAACGATCATTTTTATTAGTTTTGTTCTGTTGTTGAAAATAAATTGTCACGCGTTTAAATCAAATTTCAATCAATAGTTATAATTAGATCTTATTTATTAATAAAATAGTTATTTCTCAATTTATTAACGAATATAATTTTCAAATCCACACTTAGCAAAAACATCTCTTTTCGATTAATAACATAATGAAAGTACCAATTACTTAGTTCAAACTTAACTATTTTAAATTAGTTTTTAGTCATTCAATATTTGAATTAGAATTTGATATTGAAATGACAATTGCGTCAAACAAATGATATATTATGAAATTCACCTAAAAAGCAAACAAAAACTTGAATCATTACTTTGCAGTTTAAGATAATTTTCTAAAATTAAGATTTTTCGATCCGTTTGCATTTTAGTACTTTCATTAGCAGCTTTGGAGACTAGCGGCAACACTAGAAATCTTCTCCAAGAGGGAGAAGGCTCAGTGCCGAGGTTCTCACAATATCAAAAAATGTTGTGGAAATGTTACGATTCTTTTTTGAGTCGTCAAGAATGTTACAGTTGGAGTAGAATTTTTCAGTAACAATTAAATTAGTTTTTTCTCATTATTTGTATCACTAATAAACTTGTTGTAACTATTTATGATTGGAATAATGCATGTTTCAGCAAAGCATTCACTTTATCAAATGCTTGCTTCTGTTTATTAAATCTCGCAGTGGTAAAAGTATCGTCCACATATTATCTAAAAGAAGAAAAGTGTTGACAACCATAACAACATGAATTATATTGTACACAATATTTCACTGATATTTGATTGTTATAACAGCTTGACTAGAATGGATAAGTTGTCAATTTCGTTTGGACAGGAGAATGATTATTTCATATATTGACATCATTGGGAACGATCTATTTCCAAAACTACTATACAAAGAAATGGAGATTATGAGAAAACATGATTGAGTATCAGAAACAAGATCCCTTTAGATAGATTATCAGAGCAGGAAGATTTTTGAGATCCAGATGACGAAACAAAAGATAAAACAATAGCACTCAATTTCATTTATTGTTCATTATTACATAGATTTTGTTAGAAGAATTTTAAAAGGAATTTTATAGCACAAAGTTTGACAGAATACACTTCTAGAGGCCTTGATTCCATCGGAAGAAGAGAGGGAGAGACTTCTTTCATGTTTTCTGTGTTCACATAGGGTGTAGATATGAGTAATTATTGATAATAAGACTAACGTACCTTTTTACAGCCATCCTCCACTCTCACTCCACACCAATGTCTTTAGCCAAGATTATTTGTGTGTGGGTGTCTCATTTCCCACACCCACACCCTAATCGTACGAAATATAAGAAAAAGTTGATGATTACTTTTCTAAATAATTTCAACGAATATTTTACTGGAGGATGTAATCAAGTGATTGTTAATCTAGTTTACTTCGATATCAAATGGCATCAGTTGAACATTCTATTGAATGGAAAGCAATCGATGTTTCTGGTCGATTGGGATCATTTTATGATCAATCATCTGATGCTTTCGTTGGTTATTGTTCTCTTCAAAACTTAGAAAATTCAAAAGATTCTATAAACTCGGCATGTCAAATATTGCGATGTACACATATAAACAACGCCATAGATGTTCTGAAAGCAATAAAATTTCATGACACACTATTGCAAAGTATTCTTTTTGGTTTGGTTAAACCATCAGGAATTAGTTCTGTTATTAATTATAATGGACCAATTGATGAATACACACTTTTTCTATATTATACATATGAACATAGACAAGAGAAACTAGGTGCTATTACAGATAGAAAAGCACACAGAACCATTTCACCTCCATCTGATTTAAACAATGCAACTCATATGGTTACTGAAATAACATGGGGTTTCGAAATCTTATGCATTATACAAGTTTTGAGGACTGAATCTGTTGATCAAATCGAAAATTTACTCTATAAAATATGGAATCAACCTTTCAATCTCGACAAACGATCTGAACTCATCAATAATGAAAAACATGAAATCAATAAACTATCTAATGTGGCTATATTTGGTTCTGAAACATGTACCAAGAATTCGAATACATTATCGCTCTTAACTGTTCTCGAGCAATTAAAAAAATGGCAGGACAATAAGAGTTTTCATGTTCCGATTCTTTATAGAATGCATTCACTAGAAGATCTCTTTAAAAACCAATCATTATCCAAACCATATTTTCTGTCAAATGATGATAGCTCTAAAATTGAACAAATTGGAATTATGATGATTCAGTTAGATAATCGATTGAAGAAACTTCAACAACTATTCAAAAATCGTTTCAACGACTGTGATAATCTTATATACGATCTATGGCCACACGATATACCAGATCGACTTGGTATCTTGCTCAGCCAATATGACGAATATCGGACAAAACTTGGAAATATACTAGTTGATGTTCGTCGAGGTAAAGGTAAATCGATGGATATGACCAATATGATATCAGATCAACGCTATTCATCATTGAAGAAAACTGCTATTGATAATTTTCATAAAGATGTAGAACAGTGGTTAGAGAAAGGCAAACTTATCAAAAGACTCCAGGATGAAAATATTACTTACTTCAATGTTCATAAGATTCTTCAGCATTCAAATGATGTTGCCACTATCGAAGATATAGATGAAACACTAAAGAGCCGTTTTTCGACAAGTGATCATCCTGTTGTTGTATGGTATTCGAGTGATCAATTGAAACGAGAAAAATCAGATAGATGGAACCGAATCCGTGAAGACATAATTGCAAAACGACAGAACTCAAACGATCATATTTCCTTAATCTACGTCGATTTCACTCACTATCAGCTAGTATTAAAAGACTTCATTGTAAAAGATTTACCAATACAACCATTATCAAACTCTCCACGTAAGAATCCTAGAGGTAAGGTATGTAATCAAACTGATCAGGCTCGTTTTATGTCGCCTAAATTTCATCATGTTGTGTTCCTATTTTAACATGTTTTGTCATCGAATATTTATCTTTTTCAATAGCACATCCTTTACCACCAATTCCACAAGACAAAACACCATTAACATCTTCACCTCAAGCAGAAACAAAACCATCACGAGTAACTGAATTCAATGTGTTACTTATGGGTGAAACAGGAGTTGGTAAATCAAGTTTTATCAATGCTTTTGTTAATTACTTAGTATTCGATACTCTTGAACAAGCTGAAAAAAATGAATCAATTGTACTAATTCCAGTCTCATTTCTTGTTACAACTGGTGATCAATTTAATGAATTCATGGTTAAATTTGGTGATGTTGATTCCAATGAAAATCATGAACATCAAGGTCAATCAGTAACACAACAATGTAAATCATATGTATTTGACTTAAATGAGACAACACGTTTACGTTTAATTGATACACCAGGTATGGGTGATACACGTGGTCTTGTTCAAGATGAGAAGAATCTTGATCATATATTAACATATGTTAATAATTTATCACATTTAAATGCTATTTGTTTATTATTCAAACCAAATAATTCTCAATTGAATATATTTTTTCGTACGTGTGTTAAACGAGTGTTAACTTATTTAACACCAATTTTTTATAAGAATGTTATTTTCTGTTTTACGAATGCTCGATCAACATTTTTTGCACCTGGTAATACTGGTCTATTACTTCGACAAATGATGGAAAAAGAATATCAGAATGAGATTCCATTTCAAAATAAAAACACATTTTGTTTTGATAGTGAATCATTTCGATATTTAGCAGCTAGAAAATGTCATGTTAATTTTGACGAATTTGTAATACAAGAATCTATCAGCAGCAGGCTTGCCGATTAGGGGGGGGATGGGGGGGGATTTCCCCCCGCTAAATTCGGATCCTTTCTGCCAATTTTTTCCCGCTGTATTTCTACGTTTTTCTGCTGAAAAATATTTTTTCTCGCTTTCGTACAACCTATATATAAACAAAATTTAAGAAGATGAATTTCTCAAAATTTTCTCTCCGCGATGCGTGCATACTTATTGATTAGTGGTAGCAATGCAAACAGTTGAGTCATATTATCCCTCTTTCTGGCAAAAATAGATAGATAGCATCAAGAATATATTTTCTGCAAAATTTCCGCAGAAAATCAACTTGAGAGTACTTTTCTTTGGCAGAAAGCTCATATGTACTCTTTGCCTAAAATTTTTAGTGAATTTCGGTCTGCTTTACTGCTCACTGTCTGGTTGTGATTCCATCTCTGTCCAATATACGACGTGTAAAAGTGTATTGAACTTATTTTATTCTAAATAATTTATATTTCAACGAACCTATTCGTCATCGACACAGTGAACAATAAATATGTTATATATATAGTGCTGGCAACGCGAATTTCAAGCAAATTTTTTTTTCACCTTTCTTTTACATCATTTGATAGAGTGTGAGCTGCTGATCACGAAAAACTACTTTTTAGCGCCAGAAAATGCTTTTCCGGGTCGAAAAATACGAAAAACACATCTTTTTCAAAATGTGCAAACTTTTCTGCTTCCTTCTTTTTTCCAGCTTCTAAAAATATTTTTTTCAAATTCAGCATAAAAAACTGAGTATAGACAAGTTGTTAGATCGAGTCCAATCTAAAGAATTTTTTGATGATGGTGCTTCGAATCACGCCGAGTGCAATACGTATAGGTCGATTTTGTAAGCCTATCTAGTTTTTTTACGTAAGAGATGGAGTCAAATATTTTATCTCATTTAACTCATCATACCACCAGTCACAAAAAACGCATCGCGTTTTTTTTCTTTTTTTTCTTTGTTGAGAAAAACTGTTTTTCTGAATTTTGGGCTAAATAGATAGAATTTGACTCGTATTTCTCCATTTTCTTCATAAAAACTACGTTTTCGTGCAATAACCTTATCATATTCGGAAGCATCGCGAAAAACTGAATCGATTGATGTATGTTTCGAAAAATTTCGTTACCTGTAATTTTTTGGTGAAAATTTCAGCCAGATCTTCTCCGAAAACTAAAAAACTGAAGTCAATGGAAAAGGTTAAATCATATATCAATCGATTCAGTTTTTCGTACTGATTCCGAATATGATAAGATTATTGCATGAAAACTTAGTTTTTATGAAGAAAATGGAGAAAAGCGAGTCAAATTCCATCTATTTAGCCCAAAATTCAGAAAAACACGTTTTTCTCACCAAAGAAAAGAAAAGAAAAAAAACACAATGCGTTCTTTTGTGACTGGTGGTATGATGAGTTAAATGAGATAAAATATCTGACTTCATCTCTTACTTAAAAATCTAGATAGGCTTACAAAATCGGCCTATGTGTATTGCACTCGGTGCGATTCGAAGCGCCATCATCAAAAATTTTTTTTGAGATCGAGGTCGGTCTAATAACTTGTCTGCACTCAGTTTTTGATGCTGAATCTGAAAAATATATCATTAGAAGCTGGAAACAAAAATATAGCAGAAAATTTTGCATATCTTGAAATAGTTTTTTTTCGAAAAAAAAGACGTCCTTCAAGTTTTTCGTGATCAGCGGCTCACACTCTATCAAATGATGTAAAAAAAGGCAAAAAAAAATGACTTGAAGTTTGAATTGCTCGCACCTTAAAATGTCTTCATTTTTTGAAACTTAAAATATATTTGGAAATGCCTTTGCTTTTTGACGAACATGATCTTATTTGTTACTCTTAAAAGATTTCTCGATGAACTAAAAATTGTAAAAAAAATTGACTTTCTGCCAAATTTTTATCCCCCCCCACTCCTAAAAACAATCGACAACCCTGATCAGCAGTTGGACAACATCAGTGACTGAATCTATACGTTTACTTCGATGTATTCGAAAGTACGAACCCTATTATTTAAATGATTGGCAATCAATAGGAAAAGCTGTACTTGAAATCACAATGCTTTCACGACCTCTTATGGAAACATTACGTTCAATACTTTACAATTGGAAATTACGCGAGACAGGAATAGTTAATCATAGAATGATATTAAATTCAAATTTTCTTGGAAGTACATTGTGTTCCAATTGTGTAGAAAGTAAGATTGTAAATGGTGAACAATTTGACATCATTGAATATGAATTCAATAAAAAGGAAGACGCTAAAGATTGTTTGTGCCCTTTTGATGAAGAACATTTTTTGATTGAACATACAGTTAAACATGAGTTTGTTTCGCAAGCAATTGATATATCTGCTGATCAGTTAATGAATTCTTTTTTTGATCTTCTATTCAAATGTGATAGACTAACTCATTTCTTACGACAAAAAGAATTGTTGACTTCAAAGGATCCATTTGCGCTGATGCTTGAACATTTTCTGGAAGAAGAGCGACAGATTTGCGAAGTTTCCAATATAAACCACAATATAAATAAAAGAATACTACAAACATTACACTCGATAAAACAAAAGCGTACGGAGAATCGACAAAAATTAGTTGGTTTAAAAGAAAAATTGTCACTTAGTCAACTATATGAATTAATCAATCAATTAAAATCTATACCAGATGTTAAAAATCAAATTAACAGCATAAAGAAATCACGTCAATTGAAAATGCAAGCGAATGAACGGCGCGTAATACTACCTCTGACTAGAAGCAAAATATTTTCTGAATTTACCGATTCTCAACGATATTAACTTTTTTTTTCAATATGTGACCATTAGTTCATGACACATTATATTCTTTATTCGTGGCTATAAAATTATATATCATGTATTTTCTTATTTTTCTTTAACATTAATGATTTTTATTTTTTTATATTCTATCTTTTGCAATTTGTGTTCTTTTTTCTTTTATATCGAATATATCGATAAATTCAATATCATTTCTTTTATGCTATTAATTTTATTTTGTAGTTTAGAAAAATTAAAGTTTGAAAATAGATCAAATTTTCCAATTTAAGCTTTTCATATCACTTTGTTTTTTCAGCTTATTTTTCTTTGTCATTCAATAGAACTTTTCAAGGTGATTAAGAATATCTCATTTCTGATATTGTACACTTAAGTTTTTATCGAAAAAAATTTCGAAAAATTCCAGGGGTCTGTTTTTCTTTTTATATGGCTATTTTCTTTTTTAAATGGAATAACCCATTTCTCATTCATCTTCAAAATTTGAAAGTTTGTTATTTTATTCACTCAGCATTGATAACCGTATGTGGAGATCTATTTTTGGAAGTTACAATTTAAAAAGAATTTGAGCATTAGATGAGGTCTAGAAGTCAGCAAGTGCTACGATTTGATATTGTAAATCTATCTAAGTTTTCTCTGTTTATGATACATCATAATATTTTACACATGATTAACATTCAAAAGGCAAGAAGTGGATTCCATCTATCCCGAATATGGTGGGAATAAAAAGAGTATAGTGAAACCATAAGTATTATTTAAAAACAAGAATGACGTTTTTAATGTGAAATCAATGAATTATTAACAGATAATATAGCTATATGAACACATAATAGACAAATTTTAATATATAGTCCTACTGATAACGGGCGCAAGTGTGCGTGTGGGTGTGCCTATCATGAGTATCTACACCCACACCCCATACCAACCCATATTATATTTCGTTTAACGTTGGAAGGTCGTGTTTCAATGTTTCGTTGAATGGCCACATAAGACATGCATAATATTCCGCTCTTATCTTTCTCTGCTCCGCTTATGCTTGCTTTTCTCTCTTATATGTAACCTGTTAATTGTAAAAGTTACACAATCCCTTTAGGACCGACATGGTCATGGGGTTTTCACTGCTAATAATAAAAAAAAAATTAAGATTCGTTCAGCATTGTATAACTTATGTACTGGGAAATTTTAACATTCTGAGATTGATAAGATTTGTCAGTTAATGAAAAATAGGTTGCCCTAGTATTTCAAATATCGTTCGCACCAAAGCCTTCCGTGCATTTCCTCGATTGATATGCAGGATGTATGACGTTATATTTTAACTAAATGAAGTTCTAAGTTGAAAGGAAAAAACCTTTAAATATACTCATTGGAAAACACATCACAGAAAGTTCATGTCTTTTTCTTTCAACTAAGAGAAGGGAACCATAAGAACATATACCAAATTATATGAATAAACATAGTTTTTTTAATGATTTTCTTAGTTTCATCAAAGTTCACATAGAGATCAATAGTTGGGAATGTCATTCCGCTAATTGAAGTTAAGTTTCATTCAGAAAATCTTCGTTTGCATTGGAACAAAAATTGCAACTTAGCATATAGTCGGTTTAACTATAAACGGGCAAATTTCAGTATTTTCTAAGTTTTTACTATGAAACTTTACCATAAATATTTTTTATAAGTCAATAGTAATAAACTTCTCAATGATTATTAAAAAGCAATGATATAGCTCATAAATAGAATTCATGATACAACAATAACTTAACAAAGTATTCAATTTTATAATTTATTTTAATATAAAATAAAATAAAAACCATCAGTTTTGTTTTTTCTTTCTTTCATTTTCTTTCGATGCAATCCTATCTTGCAATTTTCTTTCTAAGTATGGTCTCTTTTCTTTTTTTATCGACGAATTTTCATAAACAGGTCTAACATTTGCATGGGTTGAAATGTGTGTTTGTCGAATATCTTTACGTGCTTGATGACCACAACCATGTACTTCAGGCATTGAATGTTCAAAACAATAACGACGATTACAATATGAACAAAGCTGCCCTAATAAAGTTATTTTTACTTTGCAGCGATGTGCATTACATATATTATCTTGTTGACGAGCTGCTTCCAATAAATCATTAATAGGTGCTTCAGCATTCATTGATGCTAATTTATTTTCTTTTTTCTTAACAGTTTTAGGACGTTCTGAAGCAACATTTAATTTCGAAGATTCAGTTTCCTAAAATTAGAATAAACATACTTGATTTCAAAGAAACGTTTGTCTTACAGATGTTTCATTTGTAGTTGAAATAGCCACTGAAGATAATGGATTGACACGTTGACAATATATTTCATGTAACTGACGATTCTGCGGTGGAATATCTTTATGACAATATCGACAAAGATTAGCAGTATCTAGTATAGGTGATTCAGTCTAGAACACGTTTGTTCATATGAAAATAAGAAGTTCATCAAGAAAAAAGTTTTTTTCTCACTCTATTTTCTTCCTTTTCTGTTGATATTAAATCTTGATCAGAAATTTTCTTTGATAATTTTGTACTTTTATCAATTATTTGACTTGAATTTTTCTTTTCTTCTTCTAATAAAGAAAATGAACGGAATTGTTCATTCATTTTTCCATCATCATCATCATCATCATTAACTTCTTCCTCTTCTGCTTGATTATTTTCAATGATTTTCTTTGTTGTAATAGTTTCAACTGAAGTTTTTTTCATAATAGTTATATGTCTTTGATCGCCAACACCGTCACTAATATGTTGTAAATTATGTTTTTCAGCAAGCTACATAATTTGTTTGAATAGAGATTCTTTTGAAAATCTTTTTACTCACTTACTTCATGTACATAACGTCGACCAAATGGTGATAGACCATCTTCAAATTGTAATTTTTCTACATTAGGATCATTAAGAAAAGCTTCAATACGTTGATCAAGAATATTAGTAAGAACATTTTCAAGTGTACTAGTTGCTTCAGAACGTTGATTACTTTGTTGTCTAAAATATTGATGTAGAAAAAAGAATGGAATTATTTTTTATTTATTTACTTAGATTTTTTCAATTGTTGTTTTGTTTGTTTAGTCTTAGAAGATACTGTTGACTTTTTGGATAAAATTGTTCCTTGAAAAAAGTTATTGTCTACAGAACAAAAAAAAAATGTTGAATTTCATTTAGATGAAAATTATAAATACCATCAATAAGTTCAAATGCCGAGCGAACATGTGCATTCTCAAGCATATAATCAATTAGTCGTTTTATAAATGGATCATGACTAACTGTTTGTACATTACAAATAATACATAAATGTCTACGTGCACGTGTGATAGCAACATTGATTCGACGAGAATCTGATAGAAAACCAACCTCACCTAGAAAAACGAAATTATTTATGAAATTTCTTATTTGTTTGGTTTTTTTTACTAACCATGTAAATTCGATCTAACCATTGAAATAATAATAACTTCTTTTTCTCGTCCTTGAAAACCATCAACTGATTTGATTTCTAATGTTGGATATTTATTTAAAAGTTTTTGACGTAATAATTGTACTTGCATATTATATGGTGTTATGACACCAATTTGATCAATAGATACACCATAGTTTTCAATTAATTCTTGTACATGAATACTAACAAGTGCAACTTCACCTTCATTGCCACGAGAATTTTCATCATCACAAGATATTTCTGGCATATCATAACCTGTTGTATCAATAAGAAATAGTGGACATTGAGATAAGTTTTCATCATCTATTTCACATTCACTATCACGTTTTGAAATATTTGATAAATCTTTTAAAAGATGAGATTTAACTGATTCATCAGCAATTAATTTTCCTTCATAAAATTCATTGGATGACCAACTCATGATGGCTTCGTTCATGCGATACTGGATTGTTAACATACGTGTTATCTATATAATTCAACAACAAAAAAAAACATATCTTTCAAGAAAAAAAAACAACAGATGATATTTAACATGTTGTCTTAGAAAAAATTATTTTAACACAAGAATTGAAATCACGGAAAAAGAATATTTAACAAATTCTAAAAAGATAAATAATAAGTATCATCTTACTTTTTGTTCTATTGAAATGAAGAATTACCTGCAGTAATGGCTTAAGTCCTGCTATTGAATAAAAAGTACGTAAACTTCAATCCTTTAATTTCATTGTTGGATGAGATCCATGTTACGATCGTTCTAGACAACAAAGGCTCTCCCATATCTCAAGATTACAACGGATCGAAGTACTCCATCTGTGACACAATATTGAAATACGAGTCTTTATTTTTTACTAGGAAAATGAAGATTAACACATTTAAATAGTGGAAAACTAAGAAAATATCAAAAAAAGGTTTTTTAAGACTTCGGAGGGAACAAACAGTGCTGTTGTCGTAAACTTTTTGCATGACGACCTATCGATCTCGAGTTGCTGCTTGTGAGCAAAATAATAAGGCACAAGGATTGAAGTGTTAGCAGTTTTTACTCTATAGTGCAACTTCTTGTAACTAACGTATTTCTTCTTTTAATGCTGAAGTTATATATATATGTATAAATGAATCAAGTCAAGATATTATAAACAATGAGTATTATTAACAGATAAAAGTTTATCTTAATTTCAAATTATTTTCAATTTTATAACTGAATACTCATTTTGAAAGGAAAAATGAAGTATCGAATCTAACTAAGCATGTCAAAGAATATTTATCATTGATAATATTTTCTTGGTGAAAGCGTTTTTCAGAAAATATCGTTTTTTTTTAGATACTAACTTTATCACCGTATTGTTCAGTTAATCGTTGCATTAGTGTAATCGCTAAACCATCTTTTGCAGCTTTTTCACTTAAGATTGTCGGTGGTAATTGTAAATGATCGCCAGCTAAAACACATTTCGGTGCGCGAAGCAAAGCAAGCCAACATGCTACTTCAAGAGCCTAAATAAATATAATAAAAATAATGAAATATTATTATTATGATGATACTATATACTTGAGAACATTCATCAATAACAACTAAATCAAAGTGATTTTGTGGTAATAATTTTAATGGACTATCATCAGTTGCTGATGTTAATGTACAAAGAATAACATTAACTGATTGCATTGCTTCTCGGCTAGCTTTTTCTTCATAGAGTCGAATATCTTTGCGTAAATTTTTTATTTCTTTTTTTAGACGTTCACGTTCACTTCGATCCGTAGTTGACTTTCGCAATTTATTCTTAAAAATAAAATAACAAATTAAAGAACGATAAATAAGAAAAACGAATTTATCTTACAAAACATTGATTTAAATCTTCACGTATAGCATTTTTAACATCTTGATAATTTTCCATAACAATTGATTCTAATGAAAAACATTGTATTGATTCAAGTAAACGTGCTGGATGACCAAGACGAATAAGTTTTAATTGTTTTTTTCTTCCAAGACGTTCAACAAGATTATCAACAGCTATATTTGATGATGCACAACAAAGAATTTTTGCATCACGTTTTAATGCTTCTTGTAAGATATATTCAACAATTGTTGTTGTTTTACCTAGGAAAGCCGATTTATAACTTTAAATTAAAATGAAAAAAAGAAAAATTTTTTTACCAGTTCCCGGTGGACCATGAATGATGGATATATCACGTGAAGCTAATGCAAAACTAACGGCTTCTCGTTGAGATTGATCGAGATTTTCATTAAACCATTGTGATGGACCAGTACTCTCAGAAAAATTTGATGGAATTGGATCAGCATTATCAAATGCAATATCAAGTAAATGATGGGCAATTCCTTGACGTTGTTTTACCATTAATGTAAGACCACTAGAAAACAGTAATATTATGAAATGAATATTTATTTTCAATACGAAAATAAATCATTATCATCTATATATAACGGATCTGAATTAATTTCGTCCTTGATTTGAATGTATTTATTTTTATTTCATCTCTAATTTTGTGTCTGACTATGATTTGCATATTGATTAAAATATGGGATTAACATGTCTATAGTATGTATTCACAAGTAAAAACTCGAAAAAAATTTCTTATTTCTAAATAATTTAAGATCTATAATCATTCAATTTGTACTCTACGACATACAATGATTAAATTATGTCTATTTTCTCAATTTCCGTGTCTTCTAAACTCTACATACTGTTTTAATCGTCGATAGGTTACATCATTAGCCATTTTAATAATCATAAAAAGACAGGTATCACCTAATGAATTAAATTGTTCATCATCATTGTCTTCAATAGCTATATGTATTGTATTTGCTGTTAAACGAAATATGAGACCACGAGCTAACGAAATTTGTTCATCAATCGAATGTCCTTGTTGGTAAATAGCAGCAATATCACCTGAAAGGAAAAAAAGTAATTTCCTTAACATAAATTTCGTTTTCAAGAAACAAACCTGGTCCAAATGTTTGAACACGTGAAAGAGATTCGCCTTCAAAAACAAGAATAGCTCGACCATATAGACCTGTATATGTATATTGAAAACGAAGTCGTGTTAGACATAATCCCCGTTCAGCAAGACGTTTTGTTGGTTGGCCTTTCAATGCTTCTCTACAAGTCACAACAACAATAACAAGTTTTTTCCTTTCTGAAACTATAAATTTAATCTCACGTTGATTGTTTTATTTCTTCTTCACGTTCAAGTTCAATTAAATCTCGGCATTTTTCAACAAATGCCTCTACACCAGTCATCTATAAATAGGACAAAAATGCTTTCTAATCTTTTTTTACAAGTTAAATTAAAAAAAAAAACACAAGAAAACAAAAAGAAGCGAACAAAGTCAATTATCTTTTTTTCTTTTTCAATTTTAAAGTAAATTTAGCTGCAAGCAAAAAATGATCTGATGCGAATTGATGATTGGGTAAATGAAGATTTAATATTTGATTTTGTTTATATAAATCATAACGACTTAATAAATTCAATCTATATCGATCATCATCTTGTTTTGTATAAAATATATAATCAACTAGATTTGATTCATTATCAATACATGTTGTAACTTCAGTTAAATCATTTACATTATAAACTGAATTAAATTTTTTATTATGTGTTAATATCGCTGATGATTTTTGATTCATATATGTTTGAAAAATCAGTTGATCTTTTCTGTTTGTTGAAATTTCATTTGGAAAACGACAATCAGAAGTAACAAATGATGATGGAAGAAGTTCATTTGACGGAAGTTGAAAAGAAAAACGATTATTAACAATTGATTGTGGGATTTGACCAGAGATTTCAATACAACGATATGCATCATATTTAATATGTCCATTGATTAAAAATTTCGAAAGTGGAGAATGAGGTTGTGCATTAAAATCTCCACAGACAATGATGGGATAATAAGAATTTAGAGGAGAATCTTTAACTGATAATCGATCGATTTCAGCAAGAAAATATTGTATTTGAGCTAATTTAATATCACCACGTTTTGGTGAATAGAGTAGATGAGTTGTAGCCACACAAAATAAATCATCTGATGTAGCATTCGATGTAATTGGTTGAAATAGAGCAATTAAACCACAATTGTCTCTAGAAAAAATTCATAGATAGATTAATATTTTTCTCTAAGTTATATGAAAATTTTTGAACTATTATTCAATTTTTAGAAAAACAAAAGAGATTCTTTATTCATACTATGAAATTCGAACGAGAAAACATTTTCAACTGACTCCTACCATATTTTGACAACGATAGGGATACGATAAAATTAAGAGAACTCTAAAAACAGTTGAACTGATAGCATACTTGTTCACAAATGTTACTGTTTCAAAAGTTTTAAAAAAAATAGTCTTTATTATGCTTTCATTAAGTTTTTTTCTTAGTTTGCATGCGGTTAAACGGTGTTCAATAATTAGAGATACTTCTTCAGAAACTTTTTATTCAATTTTTTAAATATATGAATAAATGATCAGCAATAAATCTACCTGTCTAAAATTTGGATGTTCTTTTGATAGAATGGTACTGTTTTGCTGGCAATTAATTTTAATCGATCTGTTTTGTAAAATAAACAACATCCATCTGATTTATCACCAGAACGTTTTATATAAATCGAATTATATCCTAAAAGATTATAAAAATTTTAATAAATTTGTAAATGAATAGTTTTTTTTGTTACCATGATCGACCATTTTTGGTCGAAAATCATGTTTGTAATGATCTTTTTGCATTTCTTGTAAACAAATGATCTAAAGAAATGAAAATAGAACATTCTGTTTCTCTGTTAATTTTTTTCAAAAACATACATCAGCATCTTGTTTTAATATTTCTCTTAATAAACGTTCTTTTCGTCGATTCCATTCAAGATTACTTTCTAGACAGTCATCATATAAAAATGGATTATCTTCGATTAATTTTTGAGCCAGAATATTATAACTAATTATATGAAAATTAAAATGATGATAACGACTTCGAATTAAACGTTCCTCAAAGCCTGTATTGGTCCATGTGCGTTTTGGAAGACTAGGTTCGACTAGAATATTTAAATTTTAGAAAAAAAAAAAAACAAAATAAATTATTCAAATGCTTACAAAGTGAATATTTTTCACGTTTATTTGATATAATGATAGGTGATGAGGATTCTCTTGGACGTTTAGGCATCGAGGTCAAATGAGGATGATCAAGAAAATAAAGTTGATCTTGAGAAAATAAATTATTTCGTTGAGAAAATGGTAGAAGTGAAGGTGATTGATGTTGTTGAAACCACGAATCCCAATTTTCACTTGATTGATTTTCTTCTTGTTCTTCTGTTTCAAATTGCTGTTGTTGTTGACGAAACCGAGGATTCCAGTGAAGAGTAGGTTCTCGAGGTTGATGAGTTAATTTCCAAGAATGGAGATTAACTATATAATGACTAGATTGTGAGTATGCTGGTTGACTTTCAAAACTACGATATTGACGAGTATTCGATGAGATGGAAAAGTTGGATAATACAGAACGGGTTATACGTTGGGAAGAAAAGTAAATATTAATCCGAGCTACCAATGTAAGCATGGAACAAAAAGTTTATGAAGAATATTAGAAAAGTCTAATAATTTCGAAACGAAATTATACAATTCTTTTCTTTTTTAAGAAACTTATTGTCGTACTGTTTCCTCAACTCGACTCGACAGTTGCATAAGCATCTGATTGGTCGAAAAAAATCAACAATCATACACTGATCATTGTCCTCCCTATAATAATAAATAGTCGGAGTGCAAACTAAAAAGAAATGTTGGTCATTAGTAGCAAAAATTTATATTTAATTAATTAGTTTTTTAAATAATTTATTTATTCATAGACAACATTAAACATAAGTTCGTTCTAAACGAACTAACTAGTCTATTTGGAGTCTTGCCGATACAATGATTGGATGTATGACTCACGTTCGGCAGTGTTAAGTTAATATATCCAGCAGTTAGCAGTCTGAGACGTTACTTTGGGAACATGACAAAGACAAAAAAACACTGTGCATGTGCAAGGTAAATTTTCTGAGAACTGAAATGATCCATATACGAATTTTTAAAACAAAGAGAGCATGTAAATGTTTTTTCCATTCTATGCTCTTCTTGTTAAATGAAAGAATGATTTTTTACTGAGAAAAATGAAAATTTTCTCTGAGTTCCACGATGCACATCTGTTCCTTGCTCATCGCCACATTTCTGAATACTTCATGCTATAATATATTTGAAAAGACAAAAGCCAATAAGATTTTTTTGTTTTTATTTCTTGTGATAATCATTCTAAATGTTGTTACTTAAGATTGTTTATACAATATCTTTTTTTATGAATGGTCTGAAAGGGATATAGTGCATGTTTATCTTCTCTTTAGCTTCATCGATATTCATATCACACTCACATCCTCAACATAGCAAAATGCTGACCATTTTTTGCATGAGAGAAATATCATTGAGCATGCAGATTGTTCTTCTTGATGTGTATCGTTCAATGTCACTTAATTTCTTCCGCGGTCATGTTAGTTTACAGAATATGAAATTTGTTCATGTTCAATTTAAAGTACATAAGAAATAATGAACATAAAGGAATGGTGGCATACATGTAGATTTAGCAATATTAGCAGATGTATAAGACATGCCTATAAGGATAGATCGATACACACATAAACAGGAGATGAGGCATAGTTATATAAGAAAGGCATGAAGAAAATGGGTTAAGCATATAAATAATAGACTGGACATTCATATACCAGATAACATATAGAGATTACGGCTTAGGCATCGATATCGGATTTAAGTATACAAATAAGGGATTAGATGAAGGAATAATATATTGAGCATAGAAATAAGGGATTAGATGCAGAAATGAGAGATCAGACATAGAAACAAGGAGTTGGACTTTGAAATGAGGAATTATATATACAAGTACAGTTTGGAGAGAGAGAAAATTGAGATTGATCGTAATGATTGATACATAGATATATATATATTGAGAGGATATTTGTTGACTGTGTGATATTATATGGAAGTTTGGATGTAACTTCAGCTAAAGGGTGATTCAAAAGTCTTCTTCTTTCTAAGAAAAATTACTCGTTCTTCCTTATTACAAATCCGATAATGCTCAAAATTGGATGTCTAATTCCTTGTAACTAGACGAATATTACTCGAAATTTTCAGGCCTCTAGTTCTTATTATATGGAAAATATATAGAGTCGTGTGGTAGAGCAGATTTTTTTCTCATGTCCAAAAAAAGTTTTAAAAAATTTATTCATAAGAAACATCTAAAATAATCACTCTCACTATTTATACAATAACCGACAATAGATTATTTTACATTTTCATGTCATCATAGATCTTTTGTTGATTGGATAACCATCTTTATCAATTAAACACAGTAAACTTCTTGGTATTGAGTATATCAATTTTGGACACATTTGTGGACTAACAGTTCTCCAAATTTTTACCATTTCTTTTCCAAGATTGTTAAACTTTCAATTTTTTCTCCTCCTAATTTTTGTTCAATATAACTCCAGATGTTTTCAATGGGCCAGATATCGGCCATTTTATCCGATTGTTCTTCCAGTTA